AAACTACTTACTTCGTACTATTATTTAGTAGTAAGTAGGTACGTACTAACTTTAGTTAAGTTAATTTAAGTACCGTACGTACGTCTATACTAACTAATATATATATATATATATATATATATATATATACGAAGGTACTACAAAACGCCTACAGGCGAAAATAAACAGTGATTTTTCATACCCTCATCACCGTCTAAAGTTAATCGCACGGTCACGATTGTCTGATAGTATTTCATTTTTCATTTTTTTTTCTACGAATCAGAATGACCTGAAATTTGGAGTGTGGGTTTATAAAAAAAATTGACCAATATTTTACATAAAAAACATTAACGAAAATACCCCCGAAAAGTTTTGAGGGTATTTTGATAAAAAAAATTTTTACGAATTAATTTTTTTAATATTTTTATTAGATGCGCATCACTAAGATGTACGCAGAATTCAAATTTCAGGTCATTCTAATTTGTAGAAAAAAAATGAAAATGATACGCTACCAGACAATTGTAATCATGCGATGAAATTTGGTGATGAGGGTAGGCAAAATCATTGTTCATTTTTACCGATAGGTGTTAGGAAGACTTTTATATATATATATAATGAAAAAAGTTTATATAAGGTATTAACTTTACTGTAAATATAAGATTCAACTCCAAAATCGACTTGAAAAAGTTGTTTCGATGTTGAAAAATTTATAATTGAATATCTTAACCTTGGGATGTTAGCTATGGGAAAATAATGATGTCATTCTAAAAAATAGTGCATCCTGCAACATATCATCTAAGTCGTCCGTTTTCAAAATTTTTAAGTATTTATAGATTTGTTCAATCTAGCTATTTTTCTGGAGTTTTAAATTTCATAAAAAAGGATGAAAATATATTTTTAGGCTATCATAACATTTCCCATGCTAAAACTACATATTTTAGTAAAATTTGGAGAAGCACCTTATTTTGAGTGTTTGAGGTTGATACCTTATACAAGCATCACACCTTACACACGCGCACAAACACATACACACAAACTGCTCCGTATACACGCAAAAACACATTTTAGACAAATATTAGGATGTGTCGGGTCTTCGACCCATACACGTGACTAGGTCCGGTCTAGCCCCAGACAAGTTGGGTTCATGTCAAGTGAACCCAAATTGGACCCAGGTCCACTTGTGAAGTCCAAACCTAGACTCTAGTCGACGGGTTGTGTGAACCCAACCACGCGGGGTTTAACCCAAACCCTATATAAGCTGCTAGAACCCCTCATCCTGGACACCCGTGGTGTAGTCTCTCTCTCTCTCTCTCGTACTTAAATTAACTAAGGGATTTAGTGTTACTAATCTAATCAGGGTTTCCAAAGTTGATTGATGACATTAATTGTAATCAATGTGGGATTGCTATAGAAGTGCAATGAGCACAGACCTTTTTCTTTATGGCTATTTGGATGCTTTTCTCTTTATCTTTCAATGATGTGGATTTGCATAAAGGAAATTACTATTGGCAATTATCTCCTTTCATGAAAAGTACACTCGATATTTTCTAAAAATAAATAAACTTGTTTATTTATTGCGGAAATCTCATCCCTTCTTCTTTTGCACTTTGTTTTACATATGTTGTTTGGTTGAATGAAGCACGATATTGTTTGTTTACCTACCCCACACTTAAATACAAAGAATGGCATGGAAAAAGGCCACAATCAATATCCACTAATTGGGAATTTGAATTAAAAACAAAATAATAAACTAAAAAAAAAACTTGGTGTAGAGAGAGAGGTTTGGAAAGTGCCCCTATAACTTTCCATTATGTCAATGCCACGCTTCAATTTTTATGAATGACCAAAGTAACCCCATTACCCATATCAAAATATTGTCTGAATTCGTTAGAAAAATTTCTAGGGTTACATTTTCTTCTCTGTTTTTTTTATTTAAAATATTCATGAACTTTATTAAAAAAATCAAATTACAACAGTGAAGTTACATGATTAAAAATCACGGTACACCCCTCTTAGCAAAAGCATCAGCTAATTCATTTGATTCTCTATACACATGATGAAATGAAACCTTTAAAGAAGCCACCAATGGAGAATATGAATCCAAGTTGTCAAGTCACAGTTTCTTCCTTACTACACCCACTTTCTAACATTCATAGAATCACCTTCCACTGAGCAGCAGTCACCTACATTATTCGCTTTAAATATCTTCAATCCCTCTAGTAGAGAAATCAATTCGGCATTATTAGCAGTAGTGATTCCACGGGAATGAATAAGCAAAAATAATACTGCCAAAAAAGTATCGTATCACCCCTCTAATGCCCAACAGTCCCGGATTCTCCAATGAGCTCCTATCAAAATTGAGCTTCAAGCAATCACTAATAGTAAACTATTTTTTTCAAAAACAATGGATCAGTTTGGAGATAGCAATCAAATAAAAGGCATTTGCTTTTGCAGTGAGAGAAAAATTATAAATAAATGGGTGGACTTTTTGAGCTTAAGGACAAGAGGGGTGTATATGAAGTGTCTCATGCATATTTGCATGCGTCATGATCTCCCCTCCTTTAACAAATCATACGAATATTATTATTATTCCTTCATATGACTCTTATTTATTTTTCTTGTTTGGGACCTCTGCTAGGGCAGCTGCACACAGAGGTAGCCCAAATCTGACATGATGACAAACCGGAACGCGACCACAATCTTTAAATGGACGGTCCAAATTCGTCCATTCAGAGAGAGAGAGAGAGGCTGATATTGTGTCAAGTAGGAGAGGGAGATTTCTTGTTTTAGGAAGTGAGCTTGGGCTTAATTGGTTAGCATTTGACGATGTGCAATCGTTATATCTTTTATTCAATTTCTATCAAGGGTAGAGGCCCTCTCCTCACTTACTCACCTTAAAAAAACCTAAAAAAAAAAAAGTTAGAAAAAGAGAGGGAGGGAGGGGTTGGATTGAAACCAAAAAAAAAAAAGTTAGAAAAAAGAGAGGGAGGGAGGGGTTTGATTGAGGGTATCACTTGTATATATTTTGCTATAGAGCGCATACACTATAGTCCCACATGAGCATAGTGTGAATATATTTCATCGCTCAAGATGGCTATTTAGGAGGGTTTTTTTAATCTAAAATTTTGAGAACCACATAAGAATTATTAGATAATTTAAATTTTGAGTTTTGTTACATTTAGATCTAGCCTTTCAAAATTAGACGGTCTCTATTCGATCTTGAGCATAATTTTTTTCTAGTACATAGAAAGTTTATTTTGGAAAGATTTTCTGCTGAGATTATTTTATGGGTTGTCACGATTATATAACCAAAATTTGACATCCAAAAAATATCCCTAACATATGTTTTACCCATGGAGTAAATGAATAGTATACTCCCACAGGAGAGGTTATATTTTGCATAGAGCCCAAGCTCCAAACAATCAAATTAGAGCCTACCTTCAAATAGTATCGAAAAATGTGGTTTCAATAATGAAAATCTTTGTGATAGCCTTAAAATATATTTTTATTTATAAAGTTTAAAGCTTCAAAAATAGCGTAAATCAATAAATCTATCAAAACTTGAAAATCATGAAAACTGAGGGTCCAAAAATGCCTAAAAAAAATACATATTTCCAAAACTTGAAATCCATTTTTTTCTTATATCTATGCACCTTGATGTCGAGATGATCGATTTGAGGATACTTGGGCATCAAAACAACCTCTTCAAATGAAAGTTTTGAGATAGGCTCTAATTTGATTGTTTAGCGCCTCACCTCTATATAAAATTTTCCGCTTGGTAAATAGCACCCTAGTTGCCAGCAAACAATAAGCAAGATATTTTTTACAATTTTACTTCGTTTCGCATTTGGTACAAGCAAAACAAAAAGATTTGTAACTTCATTCTTCAAAATAACTAAAATCTGAAGGATCCATTCAATGGTGCCAGGTAGTACCATAAAATATTTCTTCCCATCTGAACAGGACCATTGATTTGAAAGACATATTTTTGGACCATAATCAAAGGGAAGAGCCTTTTTTTGTTTTTGTCAGTCCTTTCAAAGTGCTTCGTTGCCTTTTCATCTAAAAGCATGTTACTTTTACAAAGCGTTCCTATAGTGGGCACCAAGAACTTGATGGTATCACTGCTATACTTAATGGGGGGCCAATTAGGCTTTATTTTAGTCAGTAATCTCTCTCTCTCTCTCTCTCTC